AGAAAACACAATACTTAGGAATATACCTAACAAAAGAGGTAAAGGATCTCTACAAAGAGAATTATGAAACCCTGAGGAAAGAAACAGCAGAAGACATTAACAAATGGAAGAGCATATCATGCTCTTGGCTGGGAAGAATCAACATTGTTAAAATGTCTATTCTACCCAAAGCTATCTACAGATTCAATGCAATCCCCATTAAAATACCAACATCAGGCTCAGTGCCTGTGGCTCAAGCGGCTAAGGTGCCAGCCACATACACCTAAGGTAGCGGGTTCGAATCCCCAGCCCGGGCCCGCCAAACAACAATGATGGCTGCAACCAAAAAATGGCCAGGTGTTGTGGCGGGCGCCTGTAGTCCCAGCTACTTGGGAGGCTGAGGCAGGAGACTCACTTGAGCCCAGGAGTTGGAGGTTGCTGTGAGCTGTGATGCCATGGCACTCTACCCAGGGGGACAGCTTGAGGCTCCGTCTCAAAAAAAAAAAAAAAAAATACCAATATGATACTTTGAAGACCTGGAAAAAATAGTTCTTTATTTTGAATGGAACCAGAGAAAAACCTGGCAATTCTTAGTTATAAAAGCGAAGCCGGAGGCATCACTCTACCAGACCTCAGGTTATATTATGCGTCCATAGTGATCAAAATAGTATGGTATTGACACAAAAACAGAGACATAGACATATGGAACCAAATAGAAAACCAAGAGATGAAACTAGTCTCTTATTGCCAGCTAATCTTTGATAAACCAAACAAAAGCATACAATGGGGGAAAAATCCATTTTCAATAAATGGCACTGGGAAAAGTGGATAGCCACATGTAAAAGACTGAAACTGGACCCACACCTTTTACCACTTATAAAAACTGACTCAAGACGGATAAGAGATTTAAATATAAGACATGAAATGACAAAAGTCTTGAAAGTGTGGGGAAAACTCTTGATGATGGCGGACTGGGAAAAGAAGACAACTTCAGTGGCAATCACAACAACAGAAATAAACAAAAGGGACTTAATTAAGCTGAAAAGCTCTGCACAGCAAAGGACAATTAAAGGAAAAAGACAACCTTCAGAATGGGAAAAGATATTTGCTTGGTATGAATCTAAGATAGGGTTGATAACTACAATCTGCAGAGAACTCAAATTAATCAATAAAAAACGAGCAAACAATCCCATCTGCCACTGGGTTAGAGACATGAACAGAACCTTCTGAGAGGAAGATAGATGAATAGCTAACAAACAGTTGAAAAAATGCTCATTGTTCCCAATCATCCAAGAAATACAAATCAAAACCATCCTGAGATACCACCTCAGTCTCAAAGCTGCAGATGCTGACATGGATGTGGAGAGAAGGGAACACTTTTATAATATTGGTGGGACTGCAAGCTAACACAGCCTCTTTGGAAAGAAGTATTGGAGAATCCTCAGAGAACTCAAATTAGACCTCCCATTTAATCCTGCAATCCTATTTCTAGGCATCTACCTAGAAGAAAAAAAAATCATTTTACCATAAGGACACTTGCACTAGACTGTTTATCACAGCTCAATTTACAATTGCCAAAATATGGAAACAACCTAAATCCCCACCAACCAAGGAATGGGTTAACAAGCTATGGTATATGTAGACCATGGAATACTTGTCAGCTATTAAAAAAGATGAAGACTTTACATCTTTTGTATTAACCTGGATGGAGCTGAAACACATTCTTTTTAGTAAAGTATCATAAGAACAGAGAAGCAAGTATCTAATGTACTCAATACTAATATGAAGCCAGTAGATGATCTAATACATGCTCACATAAGAAAAAAATTGAAATCAATTCAAGGTGGAGACAGGGCAAAACAGGGGGTAGGGAGGATGAGGAAGGGGGGAGGAGGATGGGGTACTCCCACTTAATGGACACAATGTTAGGGTATATGGCACATCTCTTGGGGGTGGGACACAATTATAAGAGGGACTCTACCTAACAAAAGCAAACATTATAACCTGAAATATAAATAAATAATTTTAAAAAGGAGCTCTTGAGAGAAATGAAATCTCAAGTTTGAGGCAAGATATATAAAAGAGGTACCCCAGAATCTTACTGTAGCAGAAAGCAAGGACTAAACATACCAAAACTTTATAAGACATTACACCAAAAGAACACAGGAAGCAAAAATTCATTTTAAAATGGTGAATCTGATCATCAAATGAATAATGGATGGATTCAAACTCATCAAATACATGCACACACATACATTTTTTAAATCCATGAGTTAAAAATATTTAAAACAAAAGAAGAATCAACCTCTGAAATGACAGAGCAAATACCTTAGTGAACCCCCTCTCCCTTAAAAGCAGCAAAATACCGGCTAAACGATGAAAATCAACATTTTTAAAATTCTGACATTAACCAAAAAGCATAGAAAAACTAAAAGCATCCATTCAAGTTAAGTTACTGAACCTTGGTTAGAACAGGTGTAGCATTTTAAGTTGAAGCTATTCCTGTTGGGACAGTTAGTCCCTTACTATAATGTCCAAGTATGTCTGATGAATTGCTCTATGCTTAACAGACATGCTTACATAATTTCTAAAAACATTTTCCATTGTTCATTCAGCTATGACAAAAGGAGGACTCTTTGAAAATCAGGAAAGCACAATGACAAAATAGTAAAAATATTGAAAAATATAACACATTTTCTTTAAGTATCCTTAATTATGTTTCACTATTTAAGTGAAAAATTTTAATAATAATGCAGTTCTCAAATTGTGTAGAGAAAATATTTAAGATAATTATACTGTAAATAACGAGGGTAAAGGGATGTGAGGGAAAGATTTTGTACTTTGCTTAAAAGTAATAAAATGATTATGATAAGTTATGTTTACATAATACCTAAAGCACTACTAATAAACTATACAAAGAGAAACACTCAAAACACTATAGACGAAATCAGAATGAAATTCTAAAAACTGTTCAAGTTACCCACAGGGAAGCAGGGGGAAAAACAGAGGAGAAAAAACCCAGAAAACAGACAAAAAGGCAAACTTGAGCCCTAACATAACAATAATTACATTAAGTATAAATGGTATACACCATTAGAAGACCAAATGTTTTTTAAAATGACTACGTGCTGGTATAAGAAACTTACTTTAAATATAATGAGATAGCCATGTTCCAAAATAAAGGAGGAAAAAGATGTACTATGTAAATATTAATCAAAGAAAGCAGAAATAGGTAAATCCACAGAGACAGAATGTAGACTCATGCCTGCCAGAAACTGGGTCAAACAGGAAACCACTGCTAATGGTTTATTTGGGGGAGGTATGATGCTCTGCAGTTAGATAGCAGTGATCTTTGCACAACTTTGTGAATATACTAAAAACTACTAAATTGTGTACTCAAAAAAGGGTGAATTTTATGATATATGAATTAGAACACAGGAAATCACACTTCAATAAAGTTGTTTTTTTAAAAAACAAACAAAACCCTGACAACAAAAAATATATATATTGATGAAAAGCAAACCAAACCAATGAGCCAAAGACATGAAGAGATATTTCACTGAAGAGGATGTAGGAATATCAGGTAAGCACATGTAAAGATGTTCAGCATCACTAGCCATTAGGGAAATGCAAATTAAGGCTGTGATGAGTTGTCACTACACTACACTACACTACATAGGGATCAGAAAATAATGACAATACCAAGTAACAGCGAAGACATGGAGAAACGATCTTTCATACATTGCTGGTGAGAATGTAAAATGGTACGGCCACTCTGGAAAGTAACTTTCCAGTTTCTTTACTAAATGTTGTCTAGCAATATGCTCTTGGGCATTTATCGTAGAAAAATAAAACATTATGTCCATAATTGTTCATAACAACTTACTTATAATAGCCAAAACAGGAAACAACCAAGATGTACCATGAAAGGTGAATGGTTAACCAAACTGTAATACATCATGGAGCACCACTCAGCAAAAAAAGGAAAAAACGATCAATATACACAAGAACTTGGGTGGATCTCAAAGCTATTATTATTTTGAGTAAGAAAAGCCAATTTCAAAAGGTCATATATTGGATGATCCTATTTATATAAAATTCTGTAAATGATAAAACTATAGAGAAAGAGAAAAGGCTAATAGTTTCCAGGTGTGAGGAAAGGTTGGGAAAGAGAGATAAGAGTTCTGGTATACATGTGATAAAATGACAAATTTTACACACTCTATATCAAAATCAATTTCCTAGATTTTCTATTGTCTAATAGTTATACATGATATAACTAATGGGAGAAAATAGGTAAAGGGAATATGGTACCTATTATTAAACACTATCTTTGCAACTTTGTTAAATCCATAATTATTTCAAAATAATTGGAAAATAACCATCAAAATTTAATTTTTTTTTTTTTGCACTTTTTGGCCAGGGCCAGGTTTGAACCCACCACCGCCAGTATATGGGGCTGGCGCCCTACTCCTTTGAGCCACAGGTGCCACCCAATGTTCTTTTAAAAAATAAGTCTGTTCACAATATTTATTTATTTTTATTTATTTTTTATTTTTTTGAGACAGAGCCTCCAGCTGTCCCCCTGGGTAGAGTGCCGTGGTGTCACAGCTCACAGCAACCTCCAACTCCTGGGCTCAAGCGAGTCTCCTGCCTCCACCTCCCAAGTAGCTGGGATTACAGGTGCCCGCCATAACACCTGGCTAATTTTTTTTGGTTGCAGCTGTCATTATTGTTTGGCGGGCCTGGGCTGGAATCAAACCCGCCACCTTAGGTGTATGTGGCTGCCGCCTTAGCCGTTTGAGCTGCAGGCGCCGAGCCACAATATTTATTTTTTGGCAAACATTATTAGTAACCCCTAGCACCAGGTTCTCTGCTAGGTGCTGGAGATGGCAATGAAAAAAACATTCATGATTTCAAAGAGCTTCCAGTTCGGTGGTAGGATAAGTCAGACCATAAACATAAGCAAGTAACATAGTTTTGTATTCTAGAAGATAAATTCTGCTCAGGAGGACAAATACCTGCATCAGGCTGCTGCTCCCCGTTCATATCCACAGCATATGAGCTATTTCCTCCCAACACAAAGGAAAGTCTACAATTCTGCTATGATCTGAAGATTACTTGCAGATTTCAAGTGCTCAATGGGCATCCAAAGATCCAAATGTAAGTCCTGAAAAATCAAAAAGAACACATCAATAGCTTGAAGCCAAGAGTGTTTACTCATAAAAATTAGTACTCAGCGGAGTTGAAAGATGTGATACAACAAAAACAGACTAACAGAATAGATGGGTAAGAGGAGAAAACTGACATCTCTTCTAATTTTCCCTTAAGAAATGGGGGCTTCAGGGGCAGCGCCTGTGGCTCAAAGGAGTAGGGTGCCGGCCCCATATGCTGGAGGTGGCGGGTTCAAACCCAGCCCTGCAAAAAAAAACAAGAAAAGAAATGGGGGCTTCACTATGTTGCCCAGGCTGCCCTCGACGCTCCTGCCTCAGTCTCCTGAGTGCACACACTATACCTGGCTATCCTATACTGTATCTTTTGTAATTGTAAAGATTTGTCCATGCATGTGTGTCTGTTTGTGTGTGCACATGCCTGTGTGTAAAGAGTAAGTGCTATCAAGAGCTTGATAAAGAATCTACAAAATCACAACAAATGAACATGTACCTGCATCATTATCCTTTAAGCTTGGATTACCATACTTACCACAATTCCTATCCATACAAATTCCAATTCTTAATGGTTTCCTGGAAGGAAAGAGTTAGCTTTCAATGTTCTGTCTTACTCAATATCAGGATACAGTATATTACTTTAGTTAGTTTTCTACTTTATCTATCCAGAATATTACAAAGAACCAAATATATCAACTAGATTAATCAATATTCATAATACAAAGAAAACCTTCCAAAATAAGCTCTGAACCCACTATATTATTATTATTATTTTTTTGAGTCTCACTATGTTGTCCTTGGTAGAGCGTTGTGGTGTCACAGCTCACAGCAACCTCAAACTCCTGGGCTTAAGCAATTCTCTTGCCTCAGCTTCCCAAGTAGCTGGGACTCCAGGCGCCCACCACAATGCCCAGCTACTTTTTTTTTGGTAGTTGTCATTGTTGTTTAGCAGGCCTGGGAGGTTTGAATCTGCCAGCTCTGGTGTATGTGGCCAGCACCCTAGCCGCTGAGCTACCACAGGCGCCAAGTCTGAACCCATTATATTCTTTATTGGGATATAAATCACATATCAAAATTTCTCATTTTATGTGTACAAATTAGTAATTTTTAGTAAATTTACAGAGTTGTGGAACCATCACCATAATTGAATTTTAAAGTATTTCTATCACCCTCAAAAGAAACTTCATGCCCCCTTGCAATTCCTCCCTATTCCATCCCTACACCCAAGCAACAACCAATCTGCTTTCTGTCTTTAGAGATTTTTGTCTTTTCTGAATATTTCACATAAATGGAATCATACAATGCAGTCTTCCATGTCTGGTTTATTTCACATAGCATATTTTTTAGGTTCATCCATGTCGTATTTTTTCTTGCTTTACATACCTGTAAAGCAATCTAAGGTATTATTTTAATATGTGCCAAATAGATTATAAAAAAGTAAATGAAGGGCAGCGCCTGTGGCTCAGTGAGGACGGCGCTGGCCCCATATACTGAGGGTGGTGGGTTCAAACCTGGCCCCAGCCAAACAGCAACAAAAAATAGCTGGGCATTGTGGTGGGTGCCTGTAGTCCCAGCTACTTGGGAGGCTGAGGCAAGAGAATCACCTAAGCCCAAGAGCTGGAGATTGCTGTGAGCTGTGATGCCACAGCACTCTACCAAGGGTGATAAAGTGAGATTCTGTCTCTAAAAAAAAAAAAAAAGTAAATGAAAAAAGGAAAGGAATTGCTTCAAGATGGTATGGCATGAACTAAATGCAAGGGCAACAATATAGAAAACTATGGAAGTGGGATTGGGTACTTAATAGCAGAACTTTGAAGGTGATATTCTACAACTCTATACCTCTCAAAAAATTTTGAAGAGGTGTGGTAGCCCATGCCTATAATACTAGCACTCTGGGAAGCCAATGCAGGTAGATTGCTTGAACTCAGGAGTTTGAGACCAGCCTGAGCAAAAGCAAGCTCACATGTCTACTAAAAATAGGAAAATAAGCTGGGCATTGTGGTGGGCACCTGTAATTCCAGCTACTCAGGAGGTTGAGGCAAGAGGATTGCTTGAGTCCAAGAGTTTGAGGTTGCTGTGAGCTATGATGCCACCACACACACTCAACCCGGGCAACAGAGTGAAACTCTATTTCAAGAAAAAAAGGGCAGAGCCTGTGGCTCAAGGAGTAGGGTGCTAGTCCCATATACCAGGGGTGGCAGGTTCAAGGGCGGCTCTAGGTAAAACTGCAAAAAAAAAAGTTTTGGCTTGGCACCTGCAGTACAGTGGTTACAGCGCTGGCCACACACACTGAGGCTGGTAGTTCAAACCCAGCCCGGGCCAGCTAAACAACAATGACAATTGCAACCAAAAAAGCTGGGTGTTGTGGTAGGCGCCTGTAGTCCCAGCTACAGGAGGGACTATAGGCAAGAGAGGGAGGCTAAGGCAAGAGAATCGCTTAAACCCAAGAGTTTGAGGTTGTTGTGAACTATGACACAACGCACTCTACCGAGGGCAACATACATTATGTCTCAAAAAAAAAAAGTTTTGAGTATATATTAAGAGTCCCCAGTAACTGATTCTCATAAACAATTTTAATCACTTAAGCTTACATTTTAATATATTCTTTGGGCTCGGCGCCTATAGCTCAACCGGCTAAGGCGCCAGCCACATACACCTAAGGTGGCGGGTTCGAATCCCCAGCCCAGACCCGCCAAACAACAATG